GCCCTGCCACGTTGTCTACACCAACTATCGTCCCACTCCCCTCCAGAATTACTTCTTCCCCGCTGGTGGAGAGGGGATCCATCTTGTGGTGGATGAAAAGGGAGTTTTCCGCGAGGAGAACTTCCAGAAGGCAATGAGCGCAATTGCTGACAAGAAAGGCGATGACCCGGCTGACGCTTTAGCCAAACGCAAGGGCAAGGGCAAGGATAAGCAAATCAACAAGGGTGGAAACAAGGGCCCATCGGATATTTACAAGATCGTCAGGATGATCATGCTTAAGAACTACAACCCCGTCATTGTCTTCAGTTTCAGCAAACGAGAGTGTGAAGCAGGTGCTTTACAGATGAGCAAACTCACTTTCAACGATGATTCCGAGAAGAATATGGTGTCCAAGGTCTTCGAAAGTGCCATCGAAATGTTGTCTCCGGAAGATCGCCAATTGCCACAGATCCAAAACATCCTTCCGCTTTTGCAACAAGGTATCGGTGTCCATCACTCAGGATTGCTGCCAATTCTTAAGGAAACCATTGAGATTCTTTTCCAGGAGGGTCTCATCAAGGTCCTGTTTGCCACCGAGACTTTCTCCATTGGTCTCAACATGCCTGCCAAGACTGTAGTTTTCACCAGTGTCCGCAAGTTTGATGGAACTAGCCAGCGCTGGGTTACCCCGTCTGAATTTATCCAGATGTCTGGTCGTGCCGGTCGTCGAGGTCTCGATGACCGAGGTATTGTGATTATGATGGTCGGAGAGGAGATGGATCCAGCAGTCGCGAAGGAGATTGTGCGCGGTGAGCAGGACCGACTCAATTCCGCATTCCATCTGGGATACAACATGATTCTCAACCTGATGCGTGTGGAGGGTATCTCACCCGAATACATGCTCGAACGATGCTTCAAGCAGTTCCAGAACACTGGAAGCGTTTCAGGCCTGGAGAAGGAGCTCGAAGGTCTTGAGGAGAAGCGCGCCAATATGATCATCTCAGACGAAGGTACCATCCGCGAATACTACGACCTACGGAAACAACTGGACGCATTTGCCGACGATGTTCAGCATGTCATTTCCCACCCAAATTACTCTTTGGCTTTCATTCACCCTGGACGATTCGTCCACGTTAAGTACAAGGGCGCTGACTTCGGTTGGGGCGTGGTGATTAACCAGAAGAAGCGTAAGAAAGCGAGCAATGATACCGATAAATTCACTCCTCACCAATCTCACATTGTTGATGTCTTGATGAGGATGTCGGAAGGGTCATCCATTGGCACCAAATCTTTCCAAGATCTTCCGCCAGGCGTTCGCCCGGCAGAGGAAGGGGAACCGTCTCGTAGTGAGGTTGTGCCCATTGTGCTGAGCTGCATCACGGAAATCTCTCACATTCGCATCATGCTTCCGAAGGATATCACGTCGCCTGGCTCTCGGAATGATGTTATGAAGTCTGTTGATGAAGTTAAGAGGCGCTTCCCAGACGGTGTTCCGCTGCTTGATCCCATTGAGAACATGCAGATCAAGGATGAAAGCTTCAAGAAGCTGCTACGGGTAAGAAGATATTCTTTTGCTCTTAACACATTATTCCGCTGCTAACCATATGATAGAAAATCGAGGTTCTTGAGTCTCGCCTCCTGAGTAATCCTTTGCACAACTCGCCCCGGTTGACTGAATTGTACGAGCAATATGCGGAGAAGGTGGACCTGACTGCAAAGATCAAGGCGATAAAGAAGCAGATTACAGAAGCCATGTCGATCCTGCAGCTTGATGAGTTGAAGTGTCGCAAGCGTGTGCTCCGTCGTTTCGGATTTATCAACGAAGCCGAAGTTGTGCAGTTGAAGGCTCGTGTTGCTTGTGAGATTAGCACAGGTGATGAGCTGATGCTGAGCGAGTTGCTGTTTAATGGTTTCTTCAACAACTTGACTCCTGAGCAAGTCGCTTCCGTTATGAGTTGTTTCGTGTTTGAAGAAAAGGTCAAGGAAGCCCCTACCTTGACCAAAGATGAGTTGGCGAAGCCACTGAAGGAGATCCAATCTCAGGCCCGCATCATTGCCAAGGTGTCGCAAGAGTCTAAGATGGCCGTGAATGAAGATGAGTACGTTCAGAGCTTCCACTGGGAGTTGATGGAGGTGATCTACGAGTGGAGTCAGGGCAAGTCTTTTGCAGATATCTGGTAAGGCATTCACCCCTAATTATTCTAACCGTATATACTAACTATCCTAGCAAAATGACCGATGTCTATGAAGGTAGCTTGATCCGTGTCTTCCGCCGGTTGGAAGAGTGTTTGCGGCAGATGGCGCAAGCTGCCAAGGTGATGGGCAGCGAAGACCTGGAGAGCAAGTTCGAGGAGGCCCTGGGCAAGGTCCGCCGCGATATTGTTGCTGCCCAGTCCCTGTACTTGTAGATACGATATCCCATTTTACGATCGCTGGAGTCCAAAGAATATGATTACCCACAATTTTGCCTTTTCCCTTACTACGTAGGATGTAGAATGTAGATGATGCGGGTATTCGTATAGTCTTGCCCGAAAGCAGTGGAGTATAGTTTAATCTGACACCTTCGATGAAACCAAAAGGGACCTTGGAAGACATAAGACGATTTGATTTTTCTATATAAATTATATAAAGGAAAATTTAAAAAGATCATTTCTAATCGTCAAATCGCTTTTTAAGGGCACAGATCTCCAAAAGCTGCGTAAAGGGAGTGCGTTGCCACCTGCAACGCCTACTTTTTCTCCACCGCTACCTTTCTCTACCCTTCTCTCCCCACCTCAAAACCCTTTATCCTGTTCTTCTTCAAGGCTGCTTTTTTTCTGTTTCTTTTTCACTCTTTTGGATATCCGAGTCCTTTGGACTATCACACTTATTCTTCGCCATCCGGCTGTCACCATGAACAGCTTGGTGGCCACACCTCCTGTTCCGCCTCACTTCTACGAGAACTCCCGATTCTCTCCCTCCCGTATGAGTAAGATGTCCCTTTCCCTTATGGAATAATTCATTCTCCCTGTCCTGGTTAAGGTGGTTGTCTTTAATTCATTGCGTATACTGACCAAACGGCCAGTGTCTACACCCTCGTCGTCGTATGCCAGCCGTAAACGGAAAGCCGACGACGACAACGACCATGATGGACGTATGTCTGCTTCGCCCACAAACTCTCCCGCCTTTACTCCTCGACAACTCCCTCACAGCTACCGCAACATTAAACGTTCCCGACCGAACGTTTCAGGCCGACCTCTATCTCTCCCCCGTCTGCTAGAGACCCTCGATACAGATGCCTTGCGGACGGTTGTACGGACCATGTGCGAGCGTCACCCTCAACTCGCTGATGAGGTTGTGCACACATCCCCACGTCCGAATGTCTCCTCAACTCTTCAAGTCCTTCGAAACTATCAGGTCGCCCTCCAGTCGTCATTCCCGTTGGGTGGCAATACTGAATCGGACTATGCTTATAACCGAGTCCGACAGCCGCTCACCAACCTTCTTGACGCCTTGAGTGACTTTACCCCCAACTTTCTTCCTCCAAACGAATCCCACGCATCCACATCCTTGAGCTACCTAGACGGGGCAACGGACATCATCCATGCCTTGCCTCGCTGGAGCACGCCACAGAACAACATCGAACGAGATTCAGCTTACGATGAGATGTGCAAGGCATGGATTCTGGTCATCCGGGAAGCGGCAAAAAGAGGTGGCGGCATCCAGTTACAGTACGGAGCTTGGGATCAAAAGCTGGCCAAGCACAACCAAACCTCTGGGGGAAAGCTACAGGGAGCTGTCAACGAACTCGGCTGTAGCTTGGGATGGATGAATGGACCCGAGACACCATCCCACGGAGCCAACAGCGACATGGGCTCCATACGGGATCAGCTTTTCTCCGGAACTTACGGTCTGGGAACACCAGTCAAGGTCGGACCTTGGTGATGAATCAGGCCACTCCGATTCCCTTACGAAAGACTACCATTACATTTACACCGCTCTTGCTTGTCGGCCTCACGTCCCCCCATTCATGCCGGCTCTCATTTGAGCTTGACCGACCGTCCATACCCCTTTGACCACGCAATTTTCGACGTATGTCACGATCACGATACCTGCTGCATGACCCTAGACTCGACATGGTCAGATGGCGTTATAGTATTCAAGGCGGGTAGCTACAGCTTTTTTTTCTTTGTCTTCTTTTTCTGCTGGAACTCTGGAAGGTGAATGCTGTTATAGCTTGTTTGTTTTCAAATCTTTCAATGAACTCACTCAGAGTCAGAACCTTTTCCTTTCTTCCCTACTTTGCTCATTTGTCGTATTCCGATTTATGCGTATGTCCCTTCCTTTCCTCTTTCATTTCTTGTCAGATTCTCGAATCCTTATATCTGTGTATTTCATTCCAACTCTGATACTCTCTTTCTAAATCTACTAGCGCCCTGGTGTCGCATACATTTCTCTCATTCATTCCATTCACGTCTCATTGTCTTCTTCGCTGCTGTGAGTTGTCTTCGCCTGTTTCACTTTTGGGACTTGGACTCAAACGTCTTTATTGCTTGTGCCATCCTATCCCTCCCATATTCCAATGATGCGTGTCAGAGCGACAACTTCTGTCTCGGGCGACCAAACCAAATCCTTGCGCTTTTCAGCTTTGGAAAATTTGTGGAAAGTTGAACCTATTCCATACATTAGAAGAGGACTACGGGCCATTTAAACTCGGTCTGCAACATACGTTCTGATCCTGCCATAATATTGCGCAACATATTTTGATACGTTCTGAGTGGATAGGGCCCTTTATTCACGCTATTTCATTTCATTGGAATACTATCAATCTAGAGCTTTGGGTCATCAAGTAGAAAAATGTACCAACGGGATATTCCCCTATTCTCTTAGGGCTTTTGCTTGGCCATGTATAACTATGTAGCCAGCTTCATAGATATTTTGGACAAAGCTAATAAATAACTACCGAGAGCAAGCAAATCAATCAAAAGACTATTTACAGACAACCATCCCAAGCAAGAATATCGCTCAATGCAATTCATAATTCATATCAATGCCCGCTTCATTAAACGAAACAACCACCCAGCATCCTCCCACCCACCCTGAGTCCCTGGTTTCTCAATAGGCGCAGCACTACCAGTAGAACTCTCCCCATCAGACTGCTCCCCATCCCCAACCGAACCAAGCGAAACTGTCTCATCATCCACCAAAACAGGGTCCTCAAATGTAACAGTAGTAGTAGTATCCGCCGTACCGATACGCGAAGCAGGCACCACAGCCGGAAGAGCCGCAGGCCACTCATCAACCCCGAAAAGCGTCCACTCAACCAAACGATCAATCCAAGAGCCGAGCCCGAACCCGCGCTCACGCGTCAGCTGCTGCAGATCCGCTTCATCGAACTCATCCGGCGTCTCGTCAGAGCCACACGAGTACTCAGACCAAGTCTCATCTTCGTCCGAGCCAGCCCCATCCCAGTGCACAGAGTCTTCATCCGAGAATCTTCGCTCGCGACGCTGTAGCGACGCCATCTCTGCGCGGATGCGCGCATCCACGAAATCAGGCACTAGGGGAGTACGGCCGCGCGCTTCTGGGCTCGCCGTGCGTGTCACTGACCCTGTATCCGTGCCCGAGCTGATAGCTACCTCCTTCTCTGCTGGCGTCGAGGAAGATGATACCGGGAGGGCGGTCATGGTTAGATGGGCTCTGCTGCTGCCGGGTCTGCTGCCGGCACGGGAGCGGGAAGTGCGGCGGGAGAGGACACCGGCTCCGCCTGGTGTTGAGGCGCCAGAGCGGGAAATGCGTGACGAGGCGCCTGATCTGGTGCGACGATGGTGGCGGTTAGTGGGTGTTTCGTCGAAGGGCGTGTCTGGGATAAGGGTCGTTGAAGTCTCGCGCTTGGAGAGCCAGCTTTGGCCTTTTTCCTCCCGAGCCGAGGAGGCTAGGGCTATGCCTGCGCGGAGCATCCATTCTGCGTCGGATTTGGATTTCGGCGTGCTGTCTGGGAGGGGGCGTCGTCTTTGCGAATGAGAGATACTAGGCTGTTTCTTGGGTTTTGGGATATGGTGGAGGGCATGGCCTAGCTCCCGGTTGTGCAGGTTCGTGTCGCTTAATGCCCCTGTGCCTGTAGAGCTTTTGCTGCGCTTGTGGCGGCTTCGCGAGTTGCTGCGTGAGTGCGAGAGGATCGGTGGCGTGCTTGGGACTGAGACGCTGGACAGATAGGATGATGCTTGGGTTGTGCGGGTGCCGCTGGCTGGAGCTTCCTGGTCGCGGTGGCTGAAGTAGTCCGTTAGATCTGTGTCGTCGTCAATGGGAAATCTGGGGGTTAAGGGTGCTATAGAGATGTGGCGGAGGGATGGGTATGAGCGACGGGACTGGAAGCCTCCCGGTGTGCTGTTGAACTATATGTTCCAGGTTAAATCTCAAATTCCTGTTTTTATCGGGGTGTGGATCTAGTCTTTACCTCCATCATGACTTTTCCAGCTGGAACCTCAAGCAGAATGAGAGAGGAAGAGGTCGGGACGGTGGAAATGCGGAGTTGCTGCACGTGCGGTTGGCATGTGAAAGTCACCGGCGCCGGCAATTGTGCTCAAGTTAATATGCCCGAGGATAGAAATACACAGGATAGATAGAGATATGTTGCGTCGAATAGTGTTTAATGTATATAAGCATAGATGAAATGCCCGGTAGATGACGGATCTATAGAAATCGTCCAACATTGCGAGAAAGCCAGTCAAATCGTACGATTATATGATTTGTGGCATGATGTCGGACTGAATTTATAAAAATCTAAAAGGCTTATTTCTTTCTACAAAGTAACCAAAATATCCACACGAGTGTAGCAACATATATCACAACTGCTTATAGGCGCGAATCTTGCCAATCAAAATACCCTTGACCTTTGATCTTCAAGTCTTCTAGAACATTGTACTCCATAATCCACTTCATCCGCTCCATCAATGCATCCGGGTTGAAGTTGTTGGATATCTGGTCAGGGGAGTCAGAACTAGCTAACTTGCCGGCCTCGTAGCTGGTCTTCGTGACCCGGTCTGTCCGGGGCTTGCGCAGGTCCTGGTAGAACTTGAACGCAGCCTCTAGGTCATCTGTCTTCCAATGTCTGAGGATAGTTGCAAGGGCAATGCCAGATTCAATTGCCATGCATGTTCCTTGGCCTATATACTATCAATACAGGTCCCGCAATAGAACTAGACACATATAGGATGCAACATACCTTGATGAGGAAGAGTCGAGTGTGCCGAGTCACCAAGCAGAATAATACCAGAATCCTTCTGCCCACTCTTCATCTCATACCACTTGTCGATTGGGTCACGCACGTACAGCGCCTGTTTGAGCATCTTGCCGTCCTCAGAGCTCTTGCGCAGACCAGCAATGACATGCTGTACCTCCGGGCACCAGTCACGGACGTGCTCCTGGAGGCTATCAATATCCGAGCGAGACATCCAGCTCTCAGAGTCCCATGCCTCAAGTGGCTCTGACATGAAACCGATCACGGCAGCACGGTCGGTCCCCGTCTCCTGGTTACCAATAGGCAAGATCAGGACGTGACGCTTGGGCCCACGGAAGTTAACAGTCTTGCGCAGCAGCTGCTCCGTCTCAGCGGGTAGATCCTTGTAGTGGACGAATCCACGATACACAACCTGGCCAGAGTAGTTGGGGTCGTCTCCCAGGCCCATATCCCGGCGCACATTAGACTTGATACCATCACAGCCGATCACAATATCTGCCTCGGCAGTGCTGCCATCCTGGAAACGAAGAGTGTACGGTGCAGCATCGGTGTCAACATTCCGGTCGACGGATTCCAGATGCTTGCCCAAGTTCAGGCTTGACTCGGGTACACGCTCTTTCAGCAAGTCTAGTAGGTGGGCGCGGTGCAGCAGGCGCGCATGCGGCTGCGAGAACTCACCAATGTGACCTACGTAGTCTCCAGTCTTGTAGTTGTGGTATTCCATATAGCTGGGCAGCTTGCGTGAGGACTTGCGCATCATACTCTCTTGCAGACCGAAGGCGTCTAGGACACGGTTTGCGTTCGAGGTGATGTTTACGCCGGCACCGACTTCACCGAACTGCGCTGCTTGCTCATATAGTTGCACGTCCTTCAGGCCGGTGTGCAGTGCGGCATTGAGGAAGGACATGCCTCCTAGGCCGCCGCCGATGATTGCGACTCGCTTGTCTTCGAAGCCCATTGTGATTGTGGAGGGTATTCTGAAAGTGAAATGTGGAGGAATTCGGTGGCACTAAAAACAGAGATATTATTGGAAGAATGACGATCAACGCTCTATGTTCTCAAGCAAGCTTTATGTATATCCGCTCGGAATACCCCCGTGAAGCATTACCCGACCAACCCATCTTGGAGATGCTCTTCGGAGCGTGGAGTAAATGTGGGGTGAGCGACGATTCCGAGATTCTACCTCGGATTTCCCGAGTTCCAGCAGGCATTGATATGAAATACCTAATATATTTTCCAAATCTCGGGATTCGTCTCGGGGATATGCATTTGGCAGGAATATGCTTTTGACGATTCCAACAGTTGGCATGTTCTTGTTCTACATTACTTACAGTGATGTCGGATTCGGTAATGCGAGGCGACTCCCGAGGTAGGATGTATATATGTAGCTGTTGGACCTATACAAGTCTTGACATAGCCGTAGGGATTCCAGACAAAAACTACATAGCCAGTAGTACGGAGTATATTCTACAATATAGTCCGGATGATCTGCATGAGAACAGACGTCTCAGAATCGGAAGCTCCCGCCATATTGTGGAGGAGCCACATCCGAAATCCACAGGCCATCGGGTCATCCTTTGATTGGCTCGCAACGAGAACTCTCGGCATTGGTGACTCCGCTATATTAAATCATCATGACTGTCATTGGCCGGGTAAAGCTACTCGGCATATATCTCTATATACTCCCGAATTAACCAATTAACCGGATTTCTACTCCACAATTTTTCCCTTGTTCACAACGAAGCCCTCCAATGCAGCAATAGCGGCCCACAAACGATTTTCGGCCTCAGGGAAGACAAGAGAGCGCGGGCTGTAGAAGACCTCGTCATCTACTTCCTCGGGGTGGCGGGGCAGGCAGTGCATAAACTTCCAGCCCTCCTTAGCGCCGCCGCGCTTAGCCAAATCAGCAGTAATCTGGAAGCCCTCGAAAGCCTTCATGCGTTTCTTTGACTCCTCCTCCTGGCCCATGGAGACCCAGGTATCCGTAACCAGGATGTCGGCGTTCTTGACGGCTTCCTCAGGAACGTTGGTCTGGGTGAGCTTGCCAGCCTTGGAGACACCCTCACCGGCGCGCTGGATGATGTCAATCATATGCGCAGGGATTTCGTACCCCTTAGGAGTAGCAACAGCCACGTCCACACCCATCTTAGTAGCACCAATGGCCAGATCGAACAGAACGTTGTTCGCATCACCAACCCAAGCGATCTTAAGACCCTCCAGACCCAGGCTGGAGAGCTTGTGTGCCTGCGAGGGGAAGGACTCGTACATAGTCAAAAAGTCGGCGATGATCTGGAGTGGGTGGAAGGAGTCGCACAGCGCATTAATCACGGGAACAGTGGAGTGCTGTGCCAGACCTGCGACGTCCTCGTGCTTGGCGACACGCGCAACAATGCATGAGACCATTGAGGAGATCACAACGGAAGTATCGTATAGGGACTCGTTGACACCAAGCTGGATGTCATCCTTTCCGAGGAACATAGGGTGGCCGCCCATCTGGACGGCGGCAGCTTCGGTGGATACACGGGTGCGAGTACTGCGCTTGTTGAACATCATGGCCACGGTCTTGCCGGAGAGGGATCCCAATAGGTTCTCCGGGACGGCCCCGGACTTGATGGCACGCTTGTGGGACGCAGCATTGCGGACCAGGGTAGCGAATTCCGTAGGGGTCAGGTCCGCAATGGAGAGAAGGTGACGAGGGGCGAAAGGGGAGGTGGGAGGTAAAGTCGGTGTCTGGTGGGCAAATCGTCGGATTCCATTAGCCTGGAGTGTTCGACGCAAAGATGAGGTGGAGCCAGCCAATTGGTTTACACTTTGGGCACCATAGCGGGCGGCAGCTGTGAGACCACTAGCCATGATGAGCTGGGGGTTATTGGTGCCGAATTGGAGTGTTGTGGGAAAGAGGAAAGGAAAAGGAAAGGAAAAGGGGAGCCCTAAAAGTAAACCTTAGAACCTTGGACGAGTGACTCAATAAATTAAGGTGGATGTGCGAGGGTATTGATGCCTTGTCGCCTGATATTTCAGGTGCCAAGGAGTCATCTCTCCACAGTCCCAAGGTTCCGTTATCATCGGCTTATCGTCATGGAGGGTCCACAGGTGCCCAGGTGCGCCTCTTCCAAGTTTACGTCTCGCCTCTCTGTCTTTCTCTGTGTTACCTGCGCCGGTTTCATCCCTTTCATCTAACTGGTATATCAGCTTCGGAGACTACAACTCATTTAATTCATCCAGACGTCTAGGGCCACGATGGCTGACGAGGCAAACCGGCCTCTGCTAGCTGCGCAGTCGGGCTCCGAGAGTGTGTCCGACGAACAGCCCAGGCCACCATATCAATTATCAACAGAGTTATCGCATGTTTTGCACCGCTCTGAAGATAAATTGAAGGTCTATAAAACCGAGCAAAGAATATCACAATCTCATTCAGGCGGGGCTACGATGGTGGATGCAGCGAACCGGGCTCTGTTGGATGAGCAGTCCAGCCCTATTGAACGTCCCCCGGAGAGAACATCCGCCGACCAGCCTAGGCCATCATATGAATTATCATCAGAATCAACACCTCTCTTACGCCGCCGGGATGATGAATTGGTCTACGGGACCGAGCAAGGATTGTCGCGATCCCCTTCAGTCGCATCACAGAATCCGCCCGAGGATGGCGCTATCAACAAGCGGGGCCGTGTACCATGGCCGACGGTCATCTCTCTCTCTATTTTAACAATCAGTGTTTTGACGATACTGGTACTTGCCTTTGCTGCTCCGGCGGCGGTCAAAGAATATGCGCAACACGCCGCTATCTTCAAACCGACGGCAGTATCAATCGATTCTACAACACCCGACGGCGTTCGAGCCCGGATTCAGGGCGACTTCGTTATGGACTCTGGCCGCGTGAAGAACAAGTCGGTTCGTGGGATTGGTCGGTTGGCAACATGGATTGCCAGGGAAGTTGAGACTGGCCCATCAAAAGTCGAAGTTTATCTCCCAGAATATGGGAATGTATTTGTTGGACACGCAACATTGCCTTCCATCAAAGTGAACATCCGTAACGGCCATCATACCAATATCGACTTCCTCACTGATCTAGAGGCTGGTGACATTCGAGGAATCCACGCAATAGCTATTGATTGGATTGAGGGAAGATTGGGCCGCCTTAGTGTTAAGGGCAAGGCGACATTGAATCTGAAGTCTGGCTTGTTCGCTTTAGGAACCCAAGTCTTGACAGACAATATCATTATTGAAGGTATGGTATATTGGGTCGGTTTTGGTACTGGGACATATAAGCTAACCCCTTTTTCAGAACATGACTTCCCTGCTCTACCAACGATCAATATCCTCAAGCTGAATGTGCATGATGCAAATGGTGGTGGCATGGCAGTGGATGTCTTACTGTCGTCTTTGGTTGATTCTCCCGTCGCTCTCACTGTTCCTGCTCTCGGGTTTGACATTCTGGTGCCCAACTGTTCACCTGGGGACCCTTACATTCTGGTCGCAGAAGCGAAGACAAGCGCGATAGACGTTCATCCTGGCCAGGAAACTGCAGTCGGAGTTGATGGTCTCATCCAACAGCTACCCGATGAATTGATATCTACCTGCCCAGGACGGGAGGGTTCTCCTCTGGATCTTTTAGTTTCGAGCTTTATGCAGGGCCTTGAAACGACAATCTACATCCGCGGGTCCGATGCACCATCACTCAATACCCCAGCATGGATTGTCGATCTACTGCGCAGCGTGACTGTGCCTCTTCCATTTACAGGACATGCGTTGGACAACCTCGTGAAGAACTTCACGATGTCCGATACACATTTCTCCCTTCCTAACCCTTTCGCGGAGCCAGATGCTCCAGACTCGCAACCCACAGTGTCTGCTCTAGTGAAGGTCCTCATTGCTCTGCCAGAGGAGATGAATTTCCAAGTAGAAGTCCCGCAGGTTCGTGCCCTTGCAGACGTCTCCTACAAGGAAGAGAAGTTTGGTGTGTTGAACATTAGCCACTGGCAAGACGCCAACTCCACCTTAGTGGATGATCAAAATGGCTCTTCTGCACTCCTTGTGGAGTTCGCAATCAAGGATGCACCATTAGAAGTCACAGATGATGGGCTTTTGACAGAGGTCATCCAAGCAATGCTTTTCGGTAGCGAAACAGTGTTGCTGCGGGTTGCTGCCACCGTAGACACCAAGGTCTCAACTGGGTTGGGCAGTTTCGCCTTGCGAGGGATTCCTGCAGAAGGGAAGGTGCCTGTGAAGAGTATGTTTTCATGAATTAGAAGATCTTAGTACAAATCAAGAATATTTCGGCCATTGACCATGTCATAGCTTCCATCGGCAGCTCGCTTGACCAAATCAATCCGCGCGTCGCCTCATTACAACTAGGAAACACGACCGAATCTTCGATGTTGGTGTCTACGCTGGCGAACTTTACTAATCCAACAAATTACTCGGCTACAGTTCCTTTCGTTGACCTCCTGATACTCTACAACGACACTGCTGTGGCCCACATGACCGCTCAGAATATCTCGGTTGGGCCCGGAAACAACAGTTACATACCCATCGACTTCTCTTGGTGCCCGTTGGACGCAGCTGGAGTAGATGGGGTTGAAGCCGGTCGGGCGTTGCTTTCATCCTATATATCAGGTCAGTTCCTTCCAGATGGCATGAATCCAAGTGGTGGATTACGCTAATGCTTTCACTCAGGCTTCAATACAACGATCACCATCAAAAGCCATCGAAACACGATTCCATCTCTACCAGATCTGGGCGAAGCATTATCTGTCCTCAACATCACTGTTCCAGTCCCTCGCATATCTGTTCCGGGTTCCCCAGACGACGATGATAAGGACACAAAGCCCCATTTTATCCAAGATGCAACGGTACGTGGCCCCCTTCACTCATACCGCATCCCTAGAGAGAAGGGAAATCTTCCTATTAACACTTACTCACAAAATTAGTTCTACCTCTGGACCTCCACAGCAGAATTCACCCTCTCCTCACCCCTAACGGAGAACAATATCCTAATCACCTCAATCGACGCAACGGCTTTCTATGAGAAAAACGAGCCAATCGGCCGAATCAATAACCGTGAACCCTTTGAAGTGCCGCCTGGTATATCCAAGAGCCCACGTTTGCCAGTCGATCTTGACATGGGTGGGGTTGGATACGACGCTCTGCGCAAGGCACTCGGTCAGTCGTTGGAGATGGATGCTGTCGCTAAGGTTGGAGTGATGATTGGGAACTACATGGATGTCGTTCTCTACCGTGGAAAGGGCATTGCAGCTAAAGTGAGGATTTAGAGTGTAGTTGCCACGGCCTGTATGATGGAGGCCGAGGTCTTGCTTGTCTTGGATTGTGCTCATCGCTGCTGGATCAGCAATGCTTAGTTCCCCCGATATCTGGATGAATAGTATTAGGAAGTTGCAAGGTTGAATCAATCCTCGGCTATCAGTATAAATGGATCCCGAGCCGTTTCCACCCTTGCTTTTCATTTCCCCCTTCTCTTCTTTACCTATATAATTTCATGCTAGGAATGTTTTTCTCGATGATTAATACTTGAGAGGCTAACTATTGGGACTAAACTATATGTAGGTAAAATGGTGGAGTATGTACAATCTCCGATCTAGGAAACGCCACAGCAGACGCGGAATGTCTAGTGAAGAACCGTACACCGCCACTTTAGGTATCATTACTGAATTATACAGCAATATGCATGGGGAAAGCAAGAAATTGTATATAGATGTGAGGGAAACAATATTGGTTGTCATTTTACATACAATGGCTAAGCCATTTATTTTGAAATTAGGTCAACTTCACGGGAAAGCCAGAAGATACACAAAGCCAAGAGACCAAACCAATCCTATTCGGGTATGTAAGTTTTGAGTTGGAAATTCGATATATAGCTTAGCCAGGGGGTAGAGTGCTGGCATCGACAACATCGGCAGCATCCTTCTCGATCTCCTCACTGGGCTCACTCAGAGGAGAGCGAGGAAGGGCCATCAGACCGGTCCGGGTGGACTCAAGGATACCGAAGGGACCGATCAGCTTGAGGAAAGAGTCGATACGGGAAGGCTTGGCAGAGCTGTAGGAGGTCGAATGAGTCAATTATGATCAGAAAGCATGAGTCAGGACAGAAAAAACACTTACACCTCGACAATGCAGTTGTTAGTGCTGATATCTAGAATCTTACCACCGAACTGGTGAGTCAGACGGGTAATGGCATCCAAGTGCTCGTGCTTGTGACGTAGAGCCTGACTCTGGGGAAGGTGACGGGGGTGGTATTGCTGGGCGGTGTGGTCAAGGCTGTGGTGCTTGTGGTCCAGGGAGTCTGGCGAGGTGGTGATCTCGCGGTGGTGCTGGAGAAGCTCTTCGAAGAACTCAGGACCAAGGATAGAGACCTTAGCCAGGAGAAGCTCACGCTGCACAAGAGCGGAGTCTGTGTAGTCCAGCACAGCCCAGACAGGGACGAGGTCGTCAAGCTGGCGGCGAGCCTGCTCGACAACACCATCCTGGCCCTGCAACACGATGGTCATGCGCGAGAGATCCTCAACCTCTGTATTGCACACCACCAGACTGTCGATGTTGAAGCCGCGGGCGGCCAAGATACCAGACACACGGGACAGCACACCGGGCTCGTTCTGCACGAGGCAGTTCAGGATGTGTCGCTTGGGTGGGTTGGAGGGCGCAACGGGAGTCTCATAGAGAATGGAGGAGACAGCAGTCGGAGCATCCCATTGAGGAGAAGCATCGGAGACTGGCAAAGGCAGAGGGGAGCGACGGTGCAATGCCTTGTAGGCAAGAGCTGAAGTTGAGCTCGACGATGCACGTATGGAGGTGAATCGAGGAAGGGCAGCAGCGCGAGACCGGGCTGTAGCTGTAGCAGATGACAGCAGCGACGCTGACCCCAGGGACAGCGTCAATGGACGCCTGAAAGCCATGAGGAGTTCAAGTAATGTGAATGGGTTGTGCGATGATTCACTCCAGATTCGCTCGGGGTATTCTTTTTAATCGGCCGACCTCGGCGACCGCCTGCTGACTCATAGTAAGCTAGATCTAAAGCGGTGTAGTGCATCCGCCGGTGATAAAACCACGTGATTGTTAGCACGTGACCTTCAATATTCAACGTGGCTAAAGGGATTGCCAGAAAACCCGACCAGCTCTTGGAAATGAGGAATATATAATATTTTTAGCTCTTCTAATAGCCCTGGGCTTCTCAATTTACTCAAAATCCCCTCAGTTTTATCTTTGGTGGCTTTGTTTGATGCTTGCTCGGTCTCCGCCTCCAAAACTCCTTCCCGCAATCGGTCTGGACCTTTTTGAGCTTCTTTTCCCCGACCTTTCCTCTCACTCTTCACTCTACCCCACCTTTCACCATGGCGGACGATGAACACCGAGTTAAGCGGTCTCGCTTCGACCAAACTGAGCCTGAGCCCCGGCGATCCCGTTTTGACCGACGCTCTCGATCTCCCTCCAACAGACACTCGGAGTCGGCCCGCACTCGTAGTCCGCTGAGTCGCAGCCCTGGCGCAGATACTCCAGCGAAGCCATCTGCAGTGGATCCGGCCGCAGCTGCAGGTTCGTTATATTTGGGTTTACATCTATCATAAATCAAATTATATGGCTAATCATTGTGGTCTTTATAGCAGCGGCAGCAGCCAAGATTAATGCGCAGCTTCAGGCGAAAAAGGGCATTCAGCATGTTGATGTCCCTCCAATTCGTCCTGTGAATATACACCCACTTCGATTCATTCTACCCAACTTTCTAACATAGGTGGACAGGCCGACAACGCGACAGAGAATTCCCAGTCGCCCTCCGCCGAGGGCGCAGCGAAGTTGAATCCCGAAATCTACGTCGCGGATGGAGACTACATCAAGGACATTGAGATCAATCATCTGCGCAATCGCTACACTTTGACAAGCGGATCTACTCAGAAGAGGGTAATTATCTCCTTTGTCACTTGCTGATATTCCAGCATGTTCCTCATAGAAGATTGGGGTACAATGAATCTTGATCTCTCATCATTCTGCTCTCTTCTTTCGGACTGGATGAAGCTTACCCTTCATAGCATCCAATTACCCTCTGTTGCATCTGCTGACCTCCGCTGCGTGACTTATAGATTAAAGATGAAACCGGCGCCGGTACGACTTCCTTATATATAATCCAACTTTAGGCAAAGAAGGTCTCACTCACTTTTTTCTCTCTCAAGATGTGACAACCCGAGGCAATTATTACCCCGACAAGAACATGGCGACTGCTGCAGTAAGGAATGCCCCCTAAAGATTTGGCGATATCAATTGCTGATTATTCTGATTCAGAGCCCTCCCCTTTACCTACATGTGACCAGCACCAATAAGGATGGTCTGGAGAAAGCAGTCGCTATGATTAATGATCTGATGCAAAAGGAACTTCCGAACCTGGTTGACGAGCGACGTTTCCGCCGCCGGGAACCCGAGCAGCAGGTCGAGCGGGATGAGTATGGCCGTGTACGGGACCGTTCCTTTCCCCTTTGTTAATATAATTATTTGGCTAATCTCATACAGCGCAAATGGCCGGATGAGCGCATCCCCATCGATCTTGAGCCGATCCCCGGTTTCAACTTGCGCGCTCAAGTCGTCGGACAAGGCGGAGCTTATGTGAAGCACATCCAACAGCAGACTCGTTGCCGTGTTCAGATTAAGGGCCGTGGCTCTGGCTTCATCGAATCGAGCACTGGCCGTGAAAGTGACGAAGCGATGTTCCTCCATGTGGCGTGAGTGGTCAACTATTTTCTTACTGACTTTGTTTCTCACTTGTTTTTGCCTCGCTCATGTCTACTATGAGCTTCTACTAACAGCCTTTCAAGTGGTCCTGACGCCAACGATGTCCAGCAAGCAAAGGAGCTTTGCGAGGACCTTCTAACCAACGTCAAGGAACAATATCAGCGTTTCAAGGAGAACCCACCCCAGCACAACTACGGCGGATACCGCGGTGGTGATCGTGGTGATCGTGGTGATCGCTACCAAGGTGGTGGCGGTGGGTATGGCGGCGGCTACAATCGCCAGCAGCATAATACTTCCTCTGCTAGCCCTGCACCCCAGGCTGCTGCTGTTGCCTCCCCGAGCGCTGGTGCGACACCCACTGCCGCTGACTACAGTGCCCAGTACGCCCAGTACTACGGCACCACGGACCCATATGCAGCCTACGGTGGATATCAGAACTACGTCGCATACTACCAGTACTACCAGCAAATGGCCGCCGCCCAGCAGCAGCAGGCAGATGGCACTGCTCCGCCTCCTGCTCCGGCTAGCGAGGCCCCTGCTCCACCTCCTAGCTCGGGATCCCCGCCGCCTCCGCCTCCCGGCGCAGGTGGTAGCTACAGCGCGGTAAGTTGTTCGAATGTCATTCTTTCTAGTTGTGATTACTGATGGATCCATTGCAGGTCCCTCCACCCCCTGGTCTTTAAGCCAGAGCCTGTTTTGGTGGGTTAATGTTGTGCCTTGCGCTGTCCAGTAGCCGTCCATTTGATACACACGGCGAACAAAAGCATGTCCTGGTCGTTTGCAAAAACGAGGGTGATACAGAGATTTCTTTTCGTTAATCTCTTTCAGATCTTTTTGTCTTTGCTAAAGAAAGTCTAGCAGTTTGCCTTGTGTCTAACCTTTTGATCTACCTATTTCCATACTCGGTAAACTTGATATTTGTGTTCATAATAAAAGGCTTGCTTATTGACAGTGGATCTCTTGCTGTGGCTAAATTCTTTAGGCGAGCACTGGTTGCTGAGCGGCTCGGACGCTAGATTCCATATCTATCTCTATGGTATATGTGAAGTACAAAAAAGCCCCACTCCCTACGCTCTTCATGCTATTGGCGCCTCAAAAATGCAAGCAGGAAACTCGAAAGAAGTAACAAGATGACACGAAAAGCCAAGAAAACACTAAATCATGCAGCATAATCAAATAGAGCATGATATTCCTCAGTCAAAATCCGCGTATAGGAGAGCCATCTGAGTCTCAGACGCCATTTTCTCCCGGCGCCTTGCCAACCCGGCATGACCCTCTTTGCAAAAATCACAGGCGAAGTCGCAAGGCGATGAGCTCGTAACAGGTACACCCTCCCTGGCCGGCAGTTGTGACCCCATTTCTTCTAGCTCGAAATCACCGAAGAACTCTTTGATCAGTTCATGTCTACACCTCCTAATACTCTCACAGTATCGAATGACCTTGCCGAAGCTTTCAAGCTTGGCCTCTCGGTTTTCGGGACCATTCGCACGGTGAGATTCAGTGTCACGGTAGATCATAGTCTCTATGAAGTTCCTCTCCT